AAAAAGTATACTGAAATCTGGTACACTTTTTAGCCAAAGGCGGTCCGTGGCTGAAAAATTATACTGAATTGAAATCTATACTATCAGACCGCCGTGGCTAAAAAGTGTCCTGAAATATGATACACTTTTTGGCCACAGACCGCTGTGGCTAAAAAGTATACTGAAATATGATACACTTTTTGGCCACAGACCGCTGTGGCTAAAAAGTATACTGAAATCTGGTACACTTTTTAGCCACAGGTGGCTGTGGCTGAAAAAGTACACTGAAATCTGGTACACTTTTTAGCCACAGGCGGTCCGTGGCTGAAAAAATATACTGAAATCTATACTATCAGACCGCCGTGGCTAAAAAGTGTACTGAAATATGATACACTTTTTGGCCACAGACCGCTGTGGCGAAAAAGTATACTGAAATCTGGTACACTTTTTAGCCACAGGCGGTCCGTGGCTGAAAAAATATACTGAAATCTATACTATCAGACCGCCGTGGCTAAAAAGTATACTGAAATATGATACACTTTTTGGCCACAGACCGCTGTGGCGAAAAAGTATACTGAAATCTGGTACACTTTTTAGCCACAGGCGGTGCGTTGCTGAAAAATAAACTAAAATCTATACTATCAGACCGCCGTGGCTAAAAAGTATACTAAAATATGATACACTTCTTAGCCACACAGTGCTGTGGCTAAAACGTATACTGAAATCTGGTACACTTTTTAGCCACAGGTGGTCCGTGGCTGAAAAAATATACTGAAATCTATACTATCAGACCGCCGTGGCTAAAAAGTATACTAAAATATGATACACTTCTTAGCCACACAGCGCTGTGGCTAAAACGTATACTGAAATCTGGTACACTTTTTAGCCACAGGTGGTCCGTGGCTGAAAAAATATACTGAAATCTATACTATCAGACCGCCGTGGCTAAAAAGTATACTGAGATATGATACACTTTTTGGCCACAGACCGCTGTGGCTGAAAAGTAGACTGAAATCTGGTACACTTTTTAGCCACAGGGGTCCGTGGCTGAAAAAATATACTGAAATCTATACTATCAGACCGCCGTGGCTAAAAAGTATACTGAAATATGATACACCTTTTAGCCACAGGTGGTCCGTGGCTGAAAAAATGTACTGAAATCTATACTATCAGACCGTCGTGGCTAAAAAGTGTCCTGAAATATGATACACTTTTTGGCCACAGACCGCTGTGGCGAAAAAGTATACTGAAATCTGGTACACTTTTTGGCCACAGACCGCTGTGGCTAAAAAGTATACTGAAATCCAGTACACTTTTTAGCCACAGGCGGTCCGTGGCCGAAAAAATATACTGAAATCTATACTATCAGACCGCCGTGGCTAAAAAGTATACTGAAATATGATACACTTTTTGGCCGGAGACCGCTGTGGCTAAAAAGTATACTGAAATCTGAACACTTTTTAGCCACAGGTGGTCCATGGCTGAAAAAATGTACTGAAATCTATACTATCAGACCGCCGTGGCTAAAAAGTATACTGAAATATGATACACTTTTTGGCCACAGACCGCTGTGGCTAAAAAGTATACTGAAATCTTTTTTTTGCTCTTCATGCAACAACGATCAAAAATACATCATGTTGAATGTTTTCTTTATGGCATTACGCTAACAATCAAATGTTTTCAATTTTTAGTGCTTAGAAACAAGGTTATAAAACTGAAAAACAGAAAAAAGGAGGAAAAAAACACTTTTTGCAACTGTGTGATCAGGCCTTCTGGTAATTTTACCAATTTAAGGAATTTTAAGGAAATCTGAGGAATTTTCGAGCTTTTTCTAAGGAATTCGAAAATTTGATTGTGAGAGCACTGTCGGTGCATGCGCAAATTTATGCTCCTGCTGGCACGAAGCTCGCAGGCGCTGGATGTAATTTTCAAATTTGGATTATTTTCATTTCTTCTATTAGCTTTTTCAACCAAAATATCTTTTTTCTTTGTGTGTTTTTTTCCTTCTGCTTTAACGAACACTGTGTTCTCGAAAATGGGCAAATTTTCAAGGACTACGAACATTTTTCACATGGGAGAATTTGTGTTTCTTTTCATATTTGCGGTTCACATTTATACTGCAGCATCGATTGAAATAGCTGCTTCAGGTTAGTTTCAGATTAAATATGTCACTTTATTTGTGCCATAAGTAGAAGCAATCTTTGGACTAGAAAGATTGAAATGTGCCCCAATTGATTATTTTGCCTCTTATTATTTTGATATAATTAGGGGTTGCTGTCCTGAGTGGTTATATTACTACCTAGTCTACCTTAAAAAATAAGCAGAAACTCGACGTTTCGAGCAAAGGCCGTTCGTCAAGAGGCTATTAAACTTTCTGGGTTGGCTACTAACTCTTGACAAAGGGCCTTCGCTCGAAACATTGAGTTTTTATTATTTAAGGTAGTAATATAATCACTCAGTACATTGGTACTACCAACACTAGTACAGACATGATGTTTGTGATGTTACTCTGAGTGCATGTCCACACCGGGCGAGCTTGAAAAATATGCCCGGCCACATTGGGAATTGAACATATGACCTTTGGAATACTAGCCCAAACATCATATTATTCACCTGAGTACACAACACCAACACAGAAAACATTCATATTACTAGATTACATTGGTATCGAAGGAACTAACCTGACCGTGTAGCTCAGTTGGCAGAGCATTGGGCTAGTATTTTAAAGGTCGTAGGTTTGATTCCCACTGTGGCTGGGCATATTTTTCAAGCTTGCCCGGTGTGGACATTCACTGGTACAGACAGTTTTAATATAATTAGGGGCCATCTCCATATTTATGTTGCCACAAATAACGTTGAATCAACGTTGTGAGTGGGTTTTTATATGATCTCGTGCCTGACTGGAAAGTTTGGAAAATGTGCGGCCAAGATTTTGAAGGTTTAATAGTAAATATATAGAAAGCATCAAAAACTTTCCAAACTGGATCTCGTGGCAATTAATGTCCAAAGTAACTATCACAGTACAGATTTTGTATTATAAATACGAAAGTCAAAATTCAACTGAATATGATCGATGTTATTATCTGGGCAACATCAATTCGATGTTATGGCCCCTTAATTGATATTAGCTGAAAAATACAGGTGGAACTTTGCCATTTTCTGCACTCTCTGGACGGTAAGCTTTTATTATTTTGGTCTGCCTTAGGCCACATAAAAAAAATAGTTGGTTAGCATCCTCGCCCGCCAACAAAAAAGGCCCCGCTCAGGATTTTTAAAATTTTTTTATTAAAAAACAACTTTTATTGATCAACAGGCTCTAATATATGTAGTATTTCTGTTGACTGTAGTCAGTTGTGTTAATAAATTGTGACATTGCGTGCAAATTAAAGTGACGATATGAATCATATTTTGAAACCTATAAAAAAATATCTGTACTATGCAAGGACCTAAAGGTTTTCGGACCTAAAACCAGGGCGTTAAAAATTAGTATAAACCCCAAGGTTTTCGGACCTAAAACCAGGACGTTAAAAATTAGTATAAATTTAAAAAAAAATCCGCCCGCCCACTTTTTGGCAAAAGCTAAGGATGCTAACCAACTATTTTTTTATGTAGCCTTACATAAGACACATTGCCAGATAATTTGGTTAACCATTAAACAGAAAACTCTCCCCTTATCCCAACCCATTGTGTCAAACTGGAGCACCCAGAGAAAACCCTCAACTTTTGACTCTTCACACAAGTCCATAGCGAGAATCGAACCCACAATCTCACATTATCATTGTTCTCGCAGATCAGCAATGTCTTGGACGATATTGTGGAAAATTGAATGGAACTGACTGTGGAGTAAGTATTATGTAAGGGTGGGTTGACTACAACATTTTTGTAGTTTGCTATAACTACAGCTACTTCAAAAATAATGTAGTCAGCTACAACTACTGCTACTTTTGAACAAAGATAGTTCGCTACTGACTACAGCAACTGCTTAAATTTTTTTAGTTTTACGGTATTTGGAGCATCTACTAAGTAAACTCAGGCTGAAATGTAACCTATAACAAATCGACTTACGAGTAACAACAGTAAACACAAAGCAACATTTTTCTAAGCACCACATCACTGTTCAAGAGTGCAAATTGACTATTGAGTATTGATTTTAAGCAAACTGTGTCTCAATATCATGCTATTCTATCAAGTTGCTACCAATTTTAAAAAGTAGCGAATAGCGATTTGCTGTTTGAAAAGTAGTCAACTACTTGGCTACTTTTAGGCAAAATGTAGTTCGCTATAACTACAACTACTGTTTTAAAAAAGTAGTCAAAAACTACTGGCTACTTGAAAATTGTAGTTCGCTACAGTAGCGAACTACAACTACTTCACTACTACCCACCCTTGCTATTATGTACATTATTGCCATTGAGTGACGGCACTCTCCCCTTGACAACTAAAATTGTCTGGCATTGGACAGAGTAAATGTAATGCAGTCTTAAGTTGTACTGCATTCCAAAGAGCCCTACTTTATTATATTATTTGATCTGTCTAATGCCAGATGATTTTACTTATTGTGGGGAAAGTTCTGGCCTGCTCAATGGGTTGAATTTAAATTGAGGAAGTGGAAAAAATGGAAGAACAGTGTAATAGAAGAATGACATAAGGTGCATTGTGGTTATTGGGCTAACCCTTTAAGTGGCAAAGCACCCTCGATGGGAGACCACTGCCACTCATTGGGTTAATCTATCTTTGTTGTATAGCGTTGTCCTCGAGGATATCGAACAGACGGACATTATTGTCGAGAATGTTTGAATGAACCTAAGCTTTATGATTGGTTATATCTGGGATTCATGGCTCTCATTACAACACTTATGCATTGTACCTTTATCTATCAATACAGTCGACAACAGCAACAGTAAGTATGTCATTTGGTCTGTCAGTCCGTAACAGACGTTACGATTTGTTGCACTTTTGTCCCAATGTCTTCATTTCCAAGTCCTAAGTAGTCAACAGACAATGTCTGGCCAGAATGCGGAGTTATCCGGTCAAATTCTTACCTTGCCGGTCATTTTGACCAGTCACTTTTGGTAGAAGAACAAACTAATCTTCATTTGAATTAATAATCAAAATACATAATAAAAGCAATCTTCATTTGAATTAATAATCAAAATACATAATAAAAGCAATCTTCATTTGAATTACCTGTAATAATCAAAATACTCGCTTGCAAGCTTGGTCGACTGACATTATGACATCATTACAATATTGGTGTCAGATAGATTGTTCCATGATTGGTATTAAAATTTCCAAATGTGGCGACAATTGGTCAATCACTAAACCAGGCTGCCATCTATTCAGGTCAGGTCATGCAGCCATGTGTCTGCCACTATTGTACGTTTTTGCGATGACTGTAAGATTAAAGTTTGTTTGCATTTAGCACTGTGATTATGCAAATCTCAGCTACGCTGGAATCTGTACTTGCTGGAATATTTACACTTCTTGTCACCGAGCCAAAAGGTAATATATACTACTCATTCTCATTTTACATATATGGGAAATTGCTATGAATATAAGTGACCAGACACGGACACTCACACTTTCTGACACGAAAAGGGCAAATGTCTGAATAAATATCAAGATTTTTGGTTAGGTCTAATAAATGTATATAAATTTCCACTCGACAATTTCCATCTACAAAACCTGTCAAATGTCTGAATGCATTTCTTGCCGGACTGTAACGTACAGTACAGTACAGTGATACTGCGAAAATTATAAGTGACAATTTTTATATTACTACATGTGTCCAGCACTAAGGCCCAGTTTAGACGGCGAACTTTTCATGCGCCGAATCTAATTTAAGGATTAAGTGCGATGCTGGAGCGGCGTCTAAATCAATTAAGTTCAGCAGGTTTTGATTAAGTTTGGCAGGTTTTGATTAAGTTCGACACGACTCGAAGATGCGACAAGACAAGTCGTACATGCAACACAGGTTCGACATTGATTTAGACGCCGTGCTTTTCGTGCGCCGAACCTAATACATAATTACTTTTTAGCATTATAATATGATTATCATATATTAGCATTGTAAATATGTCCAATATAGTGTCCTCGCAATTTGGTACGGTACAATTAAGTTCGACGTCTAAATCAGTTTCCGATATTTTGTCGTATCTACGACAATTAGATTCGGTGCATGAAAAGTTTGCCGTCTAAACCGGGCCTAAGTGAGATTTGTCAGGTACAGTACCACCCAATTGGTGTCTCACAAAGTGTCAGGCACCCATGAAAAATTATTTTCAGGATTGTGTTACAGTAATGGGTTATTAATGGCATAGATAACTGCCTGAAAATACAAGCAGAACATTTCGAGTTTGGGCCCTCTTCATTGGGAGGTTAGACGAAGAGTCTTCACTTGAAACGTTGACGTTCTGCTAATATTTTTCAGGTAGTTGTACTGTATCTCTCTCACTCTATCTGCTGCTATCTTGTTATTGTTACTGTCTTGTTAACTATACTGACACAGACTGTATTAATGGGACAGGGTGCGATTATTCAAGATTTCTAGTCGTACCTGACTGGTACGCCAATGGTTGTTGCCGCGTACTTGCGCTATAACAAACTCAGTACTCAATGCTCAATATGTACTTAGTCTTTAAAAATAAGGTTCATAAAGTACAGGTTTCTCAAAAGTATGTTCAGACTATGAGATAGCAAACAGAATTTTGGCTGTTTTGCTATTTGAAAAGGGAGTTTTGCTATTTGAAAAGGGTGTTTTGCTATTTGAAAAGGGTGTTTTGCTATTTGTAAAGGGTGTTTTGCTATTTGAAAAGGGAGTTTTGCTATTTGAAAAGGGAGTTTTGCTATTTGAAAGGGGCGTTTTGCTATTTGAAAAGGGAGTTTTGCTATTTGAAAAGGGAGTTTTGCTATTTGATCATAGTCTTGTTTATCTGTGTCGAAAGCTCAGCATTCCTAAGGCGCCACCAAAAACTGTCTTTACTAGACATTATAAAAATTATAATGTTAACCAGTTTAACAACGATCTAAGTGAGGTTTTTAGTTTGCCCTTGGATTCAGCTATTTTAACTGACCCAAATGCCTTATGGAACGATTTTAAAAATAAGTTTTTGAGCGTCGCAGACAAACATGCACCAATCAGACAACGTCGTGTCAAGAGTGAATATAAACCGTGGCTGACAAATGAAATTAAGCAAATGAGCTATCGTAGGGATTACCTTAAAAAGCAATCGATTAAATTAAGATCTGCGTATTATGATAAGGCTTACAAGAGGTGTAAAAACAAGTTAAATAATCTCATAAAAGAAACTAAACAAGAATACTTTAGAGATAAACTAAGCAATGCTAAAAATAGCAAAGAAAGTTGGCGAACTATTAACGAATTATTAAACAAAAAGCCTAAAACTTCAGAGGTTAAAGAACTAGATATAAATGGCCAACTTATTACTGACGATGATAAAATTGCAGATGCTTTCAATCAATATTTTTCCACAATTGGCAGTACGTTGTCTGACAAGATCACAGGTAACTGCACTGATCCAATGAACTTTGTGACTCCTCTTGATGGTAGTATATTCAACTTTACAAGCATTACACTCCAAGAAACAATAGATGCACTCAATGAAATTAAAACTAAGAAATCTCCAGGGCTTGATGGTATTAGTATAAGGTTACTAAAAGATGCATCTAACATTGTGGCAGGACCACTAGTGAACATATTCAATGTATCCCTTCAAAGAGCAATTTTCCCTAATGATTGGAAATTAGCAAAGGTGACCCCCATATTTAAAGAAGGAAATAAGGCAGACTGTGAAAATTATAGGCCAATATCTGTTATTTCAGCTGTAGCTAAACTTTTCGAAAAACTGGTATACCTGCAGCTAAGTTCATTCTTGAGGTTGAATGACATTCTTGTGGAACAGCAGTCTGGCTTCCGTCATCAACATTCTACTGAAACTGCACTGCTTAGTTCTACAAATGAATGGTTGTTCAATATGGACAGAGGTTTACTTAGCGGAGTTTTATTTCTAGACCTTAAAAAAGCTTTTGATACTGTCGACCATCATATTCTTTTATCAAAGCTTGAATTATATGGTATTAAAGGAACTAGCCTGAAATGGTTCGAATCATACGTTTCTGGTCAAAGCCAAATATGCTCTGTGAATAGCAAGATGTCAGCTGTTAGACAAATAAAATGCGGGATACCTCAGGGCTCTAACCTTGGGCCTATTTTATTCCTATTGTACATAAATGATCTTCCTAACTGTTTAGAGACAAC